GCGGGGCGGAGCGGGAGGCGGGCCCGGGAGGTGGTGCGGTCCTCTCCGGGCGGGGCGGCACTGGAGCGGCCGAGGGCCGTTTTCAAAGGGTGTTGTGCTGTAGCAAGGCTGGGAAGCCCCTGGGAGTGTGTATGTATGCATGCATGCATGTAGTGTGTGTGTGATGTGTGTACATATGTATCTCTAGATGTACGGGTATCTATATACACACACACTGTAAGAAGCGTGTGTCTATATACAGTGTGTATATACACGCACACACAGTCTTTTAAACTGAGCCCATAAAGGCTCTCCGGGCGAGTGACTGTCAGCCATACGGAGATGGGAAGGATGTCGATAATCTCCGCGCCACCCCCGAGGCAGGAGCACCATAATCTCATTCCGTAACCGCTTTCATGGCCGGTGTGTCCTGCGCAGGCAAGGCTGAGCGGCCGGTCACAGGCCTGCGCCCGGTGGCTCACCCCTCGCCTGCCTCCCTTGGGCACAGCGCAGGCCGCGTCGGCTGCTGCACAGGCCGCACCACTCCCAGCGCGTTCAGGGACAATCACCAGCCTTCCCCTGCGATAATAAGATTTGTCTCTTTGCAGTGGTGGTGCCGAGAAATGTACTGAAGTGCTAAGTGGCAGATGGGCAGAGACAGAAGCCCGAATTGCGGCGGAGGGCGGCCAGGACGGGTGAATCGCGAGGGCCTGTGCATCCTCCCCAGCCCTTCGTTGCCTCCAGAGCCGCAGGCAAAACATTCCTTGTTTCCACTCAGCCTCTGAAATCTGATTTGACACTTACCCCAGAAAACTGGCCATCTGCCTGACGGGTGGAGGCGGGTAGATATCACTTGAGTAAGCAATCTTCCCTCAAACCCTGCTCAGTGCACGCCTGCACAAGAGCAGTGTCTGGCAGCCCCTGTCCTAGTTTGTATTTCTGCTGCTACAGACACCTACCCTAATAAAAAGACAGATTGTTCTCCAAAGAGCATTAGGAAAATACAGAAATATTTAAGTTTTTTAATGACATTAGAAGCATTTTACTGGCTTCTGTGGGAAATCGTGTCAGAAAATAACACACTGCACATTGTTCACAGATATGTCAGAGCCTAATCGGAACTGTGTCTGCATGGTAGATGTGCTTAGCTGCCAGTCTTAAGTTCCCTCATTAATTATGAGTTGGTATTTTACTCAAGATCAGGTGATCTACATAAGCCACAGTTTCTGATCTTACTTACAGCATGAATAATAATATGAACACATGCTTCAACATATTCATTTGGCTGTGTTTGCTTTCCCTGAGTGCTTAGCTGAGCAACAGTAGTTATAACTGCAAGCACCATGGATTTTTAGAGAATATTGGAAGTGAATCCTGATTTTGCAGATCACAGGCGTGGTTTAAAAACCTGCTTCTTAAAAATAGTTACCTATGTCAGATTTAGGCTCTTCTTATCTCTTTCATTCGTACCAAGAATAAGCCTGATTTATTTTTACTTTTCCTGTGTAAGATCAGATGCTGGGTAAATTCTTCTGAATTCCCCTGCCTGACCACAGTTCAAGTGGTATGTGCTGTGGCAACGAAACATTTTTTTAAAACAGGACTTCAAGAGGAAGAAGTGTAGTGGAAACTGAAACAAACATCAAAGCGACAGAGAAGCCATCTTAGGAACTTATATCTGTGTTACACATCGGTAGAAATATGCTGAAAACACACCTGAGACTACATCTACACTAGTACTTCCAGCAGTGCCTGTTCATGGTCAGTGGGACCCAGTCATCCACACTGCTGACCTGCTACAGCAATCCCTGGCACAGGCCATGGGCTGGCTTTGGGGCCAGGGAAAGGACTGTGATGCTATGGTTGGGTCGTATAGATGTAGCATTAACATCCTAAACAACTCTTGTTCGTTTAGAAGAAGGTGTAAACATTGATCTACAACTGATTTCATTTAACATTTTTTCCCACTGAATTTTGGATGACTTCAAAGTGGATCCGAAGGTAACAATTACTCTTTAAAAACAGAGGGAAATAGGCTTTGTTCTTCGCTCATTCTTCCATTTCCTTGGCTCAGTGCAGCAGGCAAAGCTGCTGCCAGCTCATACTCTCAGTGAAAGGTTCAAGTTCTGCCTGTCTAGACTGGCTGGCACGCCTTAGGTTACACTGCCACCACGTCTGCAGAACATCATCATCTCTATCTGCCTGATGGTTCAGCTCATGAGTGTTATCTGTTTCCTGCACAGGGATTCTGCACAGGAAGAAATAACTAGACATCAGGGAACTGTAGAGAAAAAGAGGCTAAGCCTGGCAGTGGAAGGAGCACCTGGATGAAAGCTACCTCCCATAAGAAGACTTCTTCCAGAAGGAATTAAGTTTATTTACAACAGATCAACACAATGCCAAATCCACCTTTGCTACAGCTGCACTGATCTTGGTGAAATAAAAACAGGTTGATTTTGATGAGGTATGGTCCATCTTTGGGGACATTTATCTCCAGAAGTACCTTCCTAAACACGAAAGGAAAATGCAGACCAAATTGACAGCATCAAGGCAAAGCTTTGATACTTATCTCCTGACTTTTTACACTGCTGTATTTCATAGGCTTCACAGCCGTTACTTCTGATTTACACTCATTTGTATGAGGAGCAGGGCCAAGGATGTAGTGGCTCAGAAAGAGAAAGTTATGCCATAGAAACATCCATTGCAGGAGTTCACATAAACTGTGTGTCCTTCAGTTTCTCCATTTCATGGACACTTTATTAAGCTAAAAACAGAACACTGATGCCAAGGTTTACAGCACAAGTTTAGCATAAAACCACTGCGATCCTTTTTCAATCTACCCTCTAAATGAAAATTTAGGCTGTCCTGAATTATTATTTATTATTATCTATTACTGATAGAGCCAGGAATTGCTCATGTATACCCAAATGTTAACAAAGTTGTTTTCTGGAATGCTGTGAAAAAGCTACAATATGTCTCATGTATCAGGCAGTCACTGAGAAGTAGCTGATGCTAATTTAACTCCACAGCAATTATTTTCTTGTGCCTAAATTTTAGAAGTCAGTCAGAGGCCAAGCACTGAAATTTTCAGGCTGGAGAAAGTTAAAAAGCAATTAGAAATACAATATCCTCATTTGTAGTGATGTTACTGTTTCTCCTGTAGTATATGTTCCATTTATAGAACAATGTACTCTCATAACTATTTCCAAACTTCAATTTTATTTTGCAGATAATGCTATCCTTATACAAAAAATGGCTCAGGAGTTGCCTTTTTGTTTCAGTCTGGGGGATTTTACAAAATAAAGGAACTCAGCTATAGAGTGATGCTTTCAGGGTAGTTAGCTCTCAGACACTCATAGCTGGATTATTTCAGTGATATCAATTCATAGTTATGTCCTTCTTCCAAACCTCAAAATGGTATCTAAGCCACCCCCCCATCCCCCCCCCC